GAAAAAAGTTTCATTCGAAAACCTCAAACCATGAAGATTCTATGAAAATTCAAAGAACCTATTGCAATAAAACGGCAATTTCATACTTTAACCCCTAATATAATAGAGCAAAAATCTTAAAAACTATAATAATGTAATTTATGTATACATACTTAACTATGTTTCACTAATTCCAACTATGTCTTTTCCCAGAGGTAAACCAGACAACTATAGCGGAGTCGACGCTAGAAAGTACAGTGGACACCACGGTGGAATGCAACGCCGAAGTCATGAGACTGCGCGCCGAAAACGAGCGATTGCATTACGAATTAGCCCTGTAAGTACTACAAGCAATTACCACCCTTAAGTTATGCTGAAACACTGTCTAAAAGTTTTAATCACTAGTTTGACATAACGTTGATCTCTGTGGCAGAATAGGGGCCACGGATTGTAAAATGTAAGGCGCCGAAATTACGTAGCTGAATTTCTGTAAAGAAACACTTAGAAAATGTTCTCTTCACGAGTATAAAACTTAAAGAATGCCATTGTTTACGTTTAGAATGCATTGCCTAGGACCCCTCTTTTTTTTAAGTCGGTTAAAAAGAATCACATCATGTATACCCTACTAAATGCGTCCTGCGTGTTTCCAAAACTAATAATGAACTTCAAAATGTAATCTATAACCGTGGTTTTCAAAAATATGTATGATTTTAATTATTTTTTTTTATACGAACCACAAGCCTTTGCGTTCAAATTAGACAGCTAGGCTCTGTACGCCTCTGACAAAAATAATTTCGATCCCTAGACGCCCAAGCCTGTAGGTGTAGTGAGGTGACATGTTATGAATTTCCACCTTATATGTATTAAATTCAATTCTCTTAAATAAAAAAAAAGCCATAACTGAACGTAAAATGCAGCTATGAATCCATACTTAACTAGAATATACAAATTACATAAGTAATGTCTTGATATTCATTTTATAAGGGTTTCATTGACGTCTTTAAATTCAAAATAATCTTTATTTCATAGGTAAGTATTATTACACTTGCAATCGTCACATTGGTTAAACTCTACCGCTCATTCGTAAGGCAGATTCCACTTAAGAATGAGCAAGAAACTCTAGGAGTTGCTCTTAGTAAATAACATTTGTACTCATTCAACATTTACAATTTTTATTTTTTGAAACATCAGAGATCGAGACTACCTCCATGAGCTAAACGGGTTACTACCACGGATATTGGTCATCCAAGTACGCAGAAGTTGTATAATAACCTTTAGTATAAAGTTTTTATTTCACTATAGTTTTAAACCTCGTGAAAGGCAAATTTTGTATACTAACCGGAATCTTGTTATAGAAGCGTATACATTGCCCCTTAAATGATTTTTTGACTTTGTGAAGACTATCAAGTACAGCTAGTTTATTTTTATTCCTCGTATTAATGTTTTACTTGTCACTATTATTCATAAAGGAATTACTATTCCTCTTAACATAAATTACATTTTCATAAATGTACTGTGAGGTTAGTGTAAGAATGTTAATTTCCTTAAACTTATCTCTCAAAGATACTCTAGGGCCCAGATTGTAAATTGCCCTAAACGCACGTTTCTGCAGGACAAAGATTCTATTGATATCGGCGGCATTACCCCAAAGCAAAATGCCGTATGTCATTAGACTGAAAGTAGCTGAAGTAAACCAATCTAGCGGTTTCGACGTCTGAAAGTTTCCCTATTTTTTTAATAGCGTACACTGCAGAGCTGAGCCGTTTTGAGAACTTACTTATATGGGGACCTCATTGCAATTTAGCATCTAACGTTATACCTAGAAATACAACTGTATCCACAAGATTCAATTTTTCGTTTCTAACTACAATGTTTGTAACCGTCTTTCTAACATTGGGTAATGTAAATTTCACACAATTTATTTTTTTCTCATTAAGGAGTAGGTTATTAACAGCAAACCAATCAACTTTAGATATAGCATTGTTCACATCGTCGTAGGAACATTGGTACCTTTTAACTTTAAATGATAAGAAAGTATCATCAGCAAACAATACTATTCCATGAGGCTAGATAAGTGATTAATATAAACTAAAAACAAAAATGAGCCTGGAATTGAACCTTGAGGGACACCCATGCTGATTGCAGACCCTGATGATCTCGTACCGTAAACATCGACCCTTTGTACCCTACCACGCAAATACGATTTAAGAAGGTCCAGGTCACGTCCCGTCACACCATAATGGTGAAGTTTCCTGACCAGTGTATCATAGTGCACACAATCAAGTCTTGGAAAGGTAACACCAATACCATCATGTGAATCTTCCCATGCGTCAAATATATGTTTCATCAACTCAACACCAGCATCGGTTGTAGAGCGACCCCGAGTGAAACCAAATTATTTAGGAGACATTAAGTTATTACTATAAAAATGTGCATTTAGAATAATTTTTTCAAATATTTTACTGAGAGTTGGTAGTATATATAGGTATAGGTCTGAAATTGGTGGGGTCTGAAAGACTACCAAATTTGAAAAGTGGAATAACTTTACTTAGCTTCATGAGGTCAGGAAAGACACCATCATCAACACATTTATTAAAGACACACTCTAAGTATGGCGCAATACAATCAACTATAGAACTAATTACTGTGACTGAATGACCATCAAGATCAGCAGTATTTTTTATGTTTATAGAGTTAAAGGCTTTAACAATGTCGTTTGGCAAAACATGACGGAACCTTACATTAGTGATACTAACTGCATTATTTTCTTTTAGTAAGGATTCAGCGGCGGTGGGAGATGAATTTAACGACTTAGTAGTCAAAATTGGAATGTCAAAAAAACATGAACTGATGTTTAGATAATAAATTTAGGTGAGATGCTTTAAAGCGTCCACGGCGGTCAAAGGGTTAAACAAATTTGTTTAGAACCCTATCTAGTACTTCCGAGATGCAACTACGCATATCAACCACGAAATCGGATTCGAAGGCCTTAAACTTGATTAAGTTACAAGTAGTTTTAAAGTCTATTGGTAAAATAATTACAGAGCAGAATCCCGCAACAAAGAACTTATAGCAGCAATGGAAGAGAAGCAGCAAGAGGTCGCTACGACAATGTTGGAGATTGTCGAAGAAGCTAAAGATATGACGAAGCAATACTACGAAGCACAGTTGAAATCTCTGCGTTCCGAGGTACCTGTGTTCCACCATTCTACCTCCATCTTGCAATTACACTAACATCAATAAAATAAGGGATAGATATGTGCGTGCGAGCGTGTGAACATGCAAACAACGAGTATAAAACCAGAAACAGAGATGAAATATCATTTAATTTGCTTGAAAACTATTCTGCCAAATCATTACTGTGACAACTACGCTCCGATTGGCCAGCCCGAATTCGAAACAATTACGGGTGTCGTCAATTGTTTCACTTCAAATCGACCACTTTAACTTAAGATTTGCTATAATGAATTGCAAAATTACATAATTTAATATTTAATTACCGATGATGTTTTGCTGGTTTTTCTCACACCACCAAATGGAACCCTCATTGTTAGAGATATTATCTTTTATTACAATAAATATGGAATATTTTTGGAATATACGGAGACGTACGCACAGGTCAGTCGTTGGTGCTATACTATTTCAGTTTTCTAATTTGTTATTTCAGCTCAAACGACAGTTGATATTTAAAGGTGATATAAGGCCCAATTACCTAATGAGTTGCGAAGGATGGATGACCCTTATTTCGTCTCTTATTTCCGGTTATATACTCGATGCATGCCAATCTCCAATTGACGTTTATCTACTACAACTAGCATGGACCTGGACGATGTTCACCTCCTCTACTATTCGTTCCCTCACCCACAGAAAGGCGATCAACGTGGTCATGAATGAATGACCACGTGGTCATGAAAGTGAAGGTGAACTGAAATAGTTCCATTTATTTATTTAATCATTCTTTAATAGATGGACGAAATGCAAGAAGAATACGAGCAACGATTGAAAGCACTCGAAGCCAGCGGTAGCAGAGTATGTAATTGCGAAACACCATCAAAGACTAACAAAAAAGTGGCTGATTTATTGACTCAGAATGCCATCTTAGAAGAGAAGTTGACTGCGGAGAAACTGGCTCGAGCTAGAGCTGAACAAGAAGTTCAACATTTGCGCGCTTGTATTGAGGAGAGAGACGGTAATTTGCTGTTAAATATACTCTAGATCCGTAATGTTAGGAAATGTGAATCTATTAAATAACAAATTATTGTTCCTTGTTATATTTGCAGTTCTTACTCTCTCATTTAGTTATTACAACAACAAGTGCCTAGATTCTACAGTGTGAGAAAGTTGAAATCTTTTTCGTACTCTTACAATCGTCATATTTTCGTAAAAGTTACAAGCTTCCAATAACATATGACACCCTCAAGGAAGAGATTGAATTGACAGCTAAAAGTTATACTCACCGAGAAGCTTTTCGATTAATGTTCGTTAACGTTTATTAAATACATCTAAATTGAATTGTATTTGCCAGAACGTTACAGAGTACTAATGGATACAAATTTCTATTGACTTTTAACATTCGTGTTGTCATTATTGGAATAATAATCTGTTGTTTTTAAATCCGTAATACGACGAGGAATCAAATCTTAACTTGTCAGTGTCTACGCATTGTAATTAAGTTTGTAATTGAACTCAAAATGTACATATTGTTGCAGAAAAATTTCCAGAAGATCACAGACCGGAGAATGAAGAGGAAGTGCTTACCGAAAGCGAAAGTGAGGAAGAAGATCCGGCTAATGAAAGCATGGAACCAAGCTTTAAAAAGGAAGATATCAATCGCTCAAGGCTACTGCAACTCAGTATAGTTGACGATACCACTAAAAATGACAGTAAAACAGATATCGACTATGAGAACACTATAGATAGTGATAATAATGATAGTATAGTAGAAAAGTCAGAAGATACACTCAAAGATGTTGATGATTCACGAAACGACACTCATTTAACTATTGGAGATAATAATCAAACCAATAAAACCTATCATGATGTGTTTAATACTTCTAAAGTGAATGGCGATATTAATGAAACTTTGGACGCATCTCAAGTTATTGTCGATTGTAATAAAAATGCACCTATCAAAGGATCGTCCTTTGTTAACAACGCTAATATAAAGGAACAAGCTCTTGACAAATCGAATTCTAATCTTAGAGAAACGTATTTCGTGCGAAATTCAGTAATGAATAACGCATCTAATATCGATAATTATGAGGTTTCAAAAAATATTACTATTGATTTTGATAAGTCGAGTACAAATATGACGCCAGAGACTGTCAAAAAGAATCTTAAATCAACACGTGCAATTGAAAATTCTTCGGCACAATTTGAACAGTTAGAGATGACTACGAATTCACGAAACCTTAAAGAAACTGATGCCATTGACGTTTCACTCGCTCATTTTGAAGAAATAGAAATGGAAGCGAATGCGACACATATTAAAGCAAAAGACGCGTGTAACGTTTCTCTCACCCAATTTGAGCAAATAGAAACAGCGACGAACACAGATCAGCTTAAAACATCTCATGGCCATAGCGTTGCTCTCGCTCAGTTCGAGCAATCAAAAATAACAACTAACACAAGACACTTTAAAGCGTCTAACATCAGTGACGTTTCTCTCGCTGAATTTGAAAAATTGGAATTGGCAGCCAATTCTAAGAAACAGTCTATTTTGAAAGACACTACTGAACTTTTATCCAACATAAAGATTTCGAAACAAAACCGCAATTTTTTCAATCAGAAAAAGGATGTGGACCCTATGGAACTAAATATTAACAGGGACAAAACTTATTTCGAGAATGACGTAAACGTTGACAACAAGCTTGAAGAGTCCAAGAAAATATTACTTGACGATCGGTCGCCTTCAATCGTTAAAGAAGACATTGGTAATTGCGAGCTAACTACTATTAAAAAACTACTCGGGGAAAGTTTCTCTAGATCGGATATCGTATCTTCTGTACATAAAAATTTAGTTGTGCCTTTATCTAAGAAACAATCTTCGGTTGATATTTTCGAAGATTTTGACTCGCCAATCGTATTCAAACCTAAAGACACTTTAAAAACATCGTGTAACACCGATATTGAATTATTGAGTAAATCTACAGTGAAACGTAAATTCTTTGACAGCATGCTAAGCGAAAATTGCAAAGCGTCTGGTTCTAATTTAAATACTGAAAAAATAGAGAACACTAAAGATAATTCAGTATCAAATGGTGCTAAATCTACAGAAGGCGATGTTTTCGTAAAACCGTTAGTAATTACTACCTTTAATGAAAACCCTAATGAACCGCCCAAAGAAAAGTTCTCGATCTTAGATACATGTATTGAGAAAGTTGACAAAGAAATAGAAGTTGTGCTAAAATCTATTGAACAAATTGGTTTAAATAAAAATGATTCAAAGTCCAAGTTTGTGACTTCAATTATTGAGAATGCTAAAGAGAAGTCCAATATGAATCTGAATGAAACAACAGATATTCATACAAGAAAGCAGAATAATACAATTGACGAGTTTGAAATTCTTTACAAAAATATAACAGTACCGAGGGCAACTGAATTTGACTTACTTGTTTCGTCAAACAGTACAATGTTGAATGATACTCACTCCAGAGAAGACTCTGAGAAACCTAAATACAATTTGCGACAAAAAGGAAACACTTCACTTGACAAAAAAGAACTAAAAGATAAATCTATAGATAAGAAAGAAAAAATGGAAACTGAAGAAGTACTGCTCGAAAGCAAAGCATCTGAGAGCAAAGCAAAACCACAGAAACGTAATTTAAGATTGAGAAGACGTAAAAATCAAGAATATGATAGTATTGACCAAGAGAAAGACAAAATGGAACATGAAAAATTTAAAGACATTATCAATTTACAACAAGAATTCTCGGATGTTACTATGGGTGTTCCGGCAACTAAGAAAGAGGTAAAAGATATACAGTCTCCTGAAAAGAAGAAAGAAGACGAAAACAAGCCTCCATTTGAGATACAGAGCTGTCCGTCTAAAAGGTACATAAATATTTTGCACAACCAATTAATAGATATTAATAACTTTGGGGTTAATTTTCCGTCACACCCATTGCAGACAATTCTCGGTACTACTTTTACATACTTATTATATATAATATAAATTGTTAACGCATCTCTATCATAACACATTTTTAAAATTACATTACACTAAATGTTCAAAAGTATAATATTTTTTGAGTGCCTCTCCAACTATAACAGCAAATATTGGCATTAAGATTGATAGTGGAATTGCTAGCTGCGTTGGATACTATCTGCTAATGGTCCCATCAACTATTTCGATTATACGGGCCGAATCTTGCGCATGCCATACTCGCTTAGACCTCAATCATCGTCGAGTATATAACCAGAAATAGAGACGAAATGTCATTTAATTTGAAAATTATTCTGCCAAATCATTACGGTGACAACTGCGCTCCGATTGGCCAGTCGTCTGAATTCAAGACAATTGACGGGTGTCGTCAATTATTTATTCAGTTTATTTTGAGCTTTTCTATAATGGACGAAAATTGAAATATTACATATTTAGTATTTAATTACCGATGAAATGTGATTCAGTTTGTTTTGTAATCAGATGTTTTGCTGTTTTTCCCATATCACCGAATACTGTTTTTCCCATATCACATAACCCCTCCATTGTTATGACTGTTACAGATATACAATAAATCACAATATTTTTGGAATATATGGAGACGTACACACATGTCCGTTGTTGTCGCTGTCCTATTTCAGCTTTCTAATTTGTGATTTCAGCGCAAACGCTAGTTGATATTTAAGTGATATGAGACCCATTTACCTTATGAGTTGCCAAAGATGGATGGATATTTCGTCTCTATTTCTGGTTATATACTCAATGACTTAAATTTACTGTTCAAACATCTTTTCTTTTTTTCTTCAGTATTACTCGAAGCCGTAGAAAGTTATTCACACCACGAGCAGAGCCTCTGGAAGAATCGTTGCCAGGTGATAGCGAGAGCAATGAACGCATCCGAGTACCCAGGCCGTCTTACCACCGTGCTAGAGCTCGTCGCAAGCTGTGAAATACCACTACTACATACCATCAATGACCACCCGATAGTTTTTCTACATCGCTATTTTATAAAATGAAGACATTGTTTTGGATTTTTTTTAAGGAATTTTCTCCCAACATATAAAACGAACATATATGAAAAGCTTAGCACCATCCTTTGTTTGCCTGAGTGTCATATCAACTGACCAGAAAATATAAGTAACATTTTAAATAAATACGTTGTTACGTAAAATTTGTTGCTAGCTCTCATATCAAATAAAAATTAACAATGGCCAAATTGCTGGCATATGGCAGTATCATTTTTTACTAATTTAGACTTAATCATTATTATATTATATTAGCGATTAGTTGATTGTACAATATTACTATTAAAAATAGATTATAATTATAATCCACTCATATTAATTATTATTATTATATCGGAATTGTTAACATTGCAATAAAGTACTATGTAAATTTATATTGTGGCTTATTTTTATTTAAAGGTGCCGCCTTTGCCGCGTGTCTATTTCGTAAGTGAATTTGCACAGCCAGAACAGGCCTTTTCCCAGCTTGCGTTTACCTACGCATTGGATTTTTGGTTAAATTCGATATGATATTATTATCGTTAATCCCTGTTTAATTAAAATAATCATGCACATCTTCAGAGATCTGCGAGTTTTTTCTCATTGCGTCTCATTCTTCGTCACTTTAATATCTTGAAAAGTTTATATTTAGTGTTTTACGAAAAACCCTATTGCAAGCACCAACGACATCTAAGCATTTGTGTGATTCAAATTCGGGCTGCCATTGAATAAGCATAGCAAAACGTCATATCATAACTATTATAGTTAACGAGCAGCCAAAATCAAATTTTAATAGTGGAGGCTCATATTACGTTCTAAGTTTAGATATATCTTTGTTTGAATTTTCTTTATTAAACAATAAGTTATAATTATGCAGGTAAGGCAGAATAAAAGCTTAAATAATAGAAACTAAAATTAGGATTAAACCTTGATTAAACTATATGAATAAAATTAGGTCCCCGCGGAGAAGTGCCGGGTATATCTTTTCAAATTTTATTTAACGTGAACATTGACGTACATGAACGTGAGCGTGAATTATAAAATAAAACTGTATAGGAGTAAAACATTAAAAAAAAGAATCAAATAATTGTAAAAGAAATATTTTCGTCTTCTTCAAATTTTAACAGTTATCAACTGTCAAATGGGAAAAATATACGTTTCTAGCCGCTCGCAAGCGGTCAACACTTGCGCAATGAACTGCCATTTTACTCCGTCTTCAAAAAAGACAGACATGAAAAGTTGTCTTTGATTTTTTCCAATTTAGAAATTTGTACAAAAAATTTTCAATAATTGAAATTTTTCGGAAAATTACCTATAATCTCGTGCTTAATCAGTAGTAACCTCATCCCTCTCGTGTATGGGAGAATTTGAACCGTATCACCATAGAGTAACACGAACTGTTAAATAAACGTCATTTGAGGAAATTTATTCGTTCAATTTAGTTCGTTCAGCGTTGTAGTAGTCGTAATATTTTGCTATTCGTGTTTCATGTTTTCTCCTTACAATTAATTCAGAAATAAATCTGTAGTTTACATTATGACGACAAACGTTAGAGCAGCGGTATCGCAAATATTGCGCAATAAAGATGACGCTGGGGAAGAAGACGATGAGCCGAAAAAAAAGTCCAGGGAGGACTGGAGGAAGGCCAAGGAGTTGGAAGAAGCTCGTAAGGCTGGAACAGCACCCGCTGCTGTTGATGAAACAGGTAATTTCTTTGAGTATTTAAGATACTAAAAAATTCGTGATTTAAATTTACTTCATTTTAAGCACTCTTCAGTTGTTTTCTTATCACATTGTTCAAGGTATTATAGGTACCTTTGATAAGTATAGCTTAGAACGGATGTACTGTAGAGTCATTTGCCTGTCATGTATATAAAAAAAATAAATAAAAAAATTGCAATGCTCTAAACTACAACGGTCTACCTGTTACTTGATGAGTCCCACACATCTTCACAACTATAATAAAATTTACAGGCAAAGACATAAATCCCCATATTCCGCAATACATCTCCTCTGCGCCATGGTATTACGGCACCAGTGGACCCACTTTAAAGCATCAGAGGCCACAGGAAGACAGGGAGGCTCAATTCACCAAACTTGATACTTATTATCATAAAGGAGTTGATACTGTGAGTAACCTTCTCGTTGTCTCCTCATCTATTATGATAAATAATCTTGTGACCATTGACTTACAAATAAATGGACGACGGGTCTAATACAAAAACCACGAAAAAAATGTCCCAAGTCAACCTATTCGAAATTTAAATTGTAATGTCATCGCAGTATCGCGCTGTCAGTAGAACAAATGAAGACTAAAGCGGAGTTTGGCGCTCTGTATACGATTTTAGCGCCTTACAAGTGAGGACACTTTTTAGCGCGGACCCGACGTCCATATAATTGTAAGTCAAT